TTATACTGGCAATATATTGATTTGTCATGAAATTACATTATTTTTTACATAAAGAATTTCTTTAGTATGGTCATATTTCTACAATGTATGGGAGGTGAACATTCTACAATGTATGTGAAGTGAACATTCTACAATGTATGTGAGGTGAACACAAAAACAAAATAGAATTTAGAAGATCTTGGCTTGTAGCCTTGTATGATAAACCACAAACACAGAGGATTTACATGTAATGTATGCTAATACTGATAATAAATCAAACAGTTCACTCAAAGAGGTAAGATTTCAAACACCATTTGTAAAATAGTACCTCGATCAATTTTTGTATTGATGAATTAACATAATTGAAAATAAATAAAAGAATGAATGAAAATATAATAGAAACCGTCTTTGCAACCACACATCATTTGTATCACCGACTCTCGCAATGTTTATATTCCATTTTCTATTTGGACACACTACTTTTTCCTTTTTGTAGGTAATGGTATTGCAAAGAATTTTACCTACACATATATATGGGCCAGAATCATATTAATAGGCTGTATACACCTTTGGCCATTATATCACTTGGTCTTTGAGCCTTAAGAGGGTAATACTCCTGTATCACTCAGCAACGAATAAGTCTTATATGCTGCATTTATGAAAACAGAAATTATCTTGAATGTAGAATGCAGCTATAGTATGTTATTTTATGATTTACATGAGTTGCACTTCTTCCCTCATATCAGTCATGACTACTGGAAGCAGACCTCCTGATCTTTGTATGGGTCAAATATTCCCTCTGTGGCCCAGTGTATTACCCTTCTGTGTCAGTTAGCATGATCTTTTCTCTCTAGCAGTTGCCAGAGGATGCAATCACCACGGTTATTTGTGGAATTCAAATACACCAACTGTAAAGTCATAACTCATGACTTTTTGTTGACATGCAACTGATATAGTCATGGATTATAATCTTAATACAGATTTTGGTAAAATCCAGCTAAATCCTGCAACAACCAATATGTTGAGTCTTGAATGTTGATATTTAAAGTAAGTTTGAAGCTCATCCTCACATGCGGTTAAGTTTTGTGACCACCAGGACACGTAATGTCTGATCAAATGAGGTACAAACACAGAGTCCCTCCTTGTCTGGACTCCAGTCTAGGGAACTGATTGGTTGTGTTGTCATGGTAATATTCTGTGCGAGGTTCACAGTCCCAGGAACTCCCCTCTCATTCCCTTCACTGTCCTTTTCCACTCGCTGGTGGGGGTATGAACTAGGGCAAAAAATACAATTATCAACATGTGTACACGATTTGTTTGTTGCTCTATTACAAATACAAGGGCTGAGATTTCATACATATAATGCTTGTAACTATTTGAGGAAGATGCTAGCTACTTGGAGATCAACCAAAGTAAGGTCTGAAATAGTGGTACACCTATGATTCAATATATAAGACAATTTCATACGACTGGTTGGTATAAAGGTGATATGACACTGGTGATTTTTCATAATTACAAGTCTACTAGAATTCAACCAATATTTAAACAAAACCATTCACATGTTATCATCAGAAACAAGTTTTTAAACTGTGAGCAAATCATCTTCCACGATACCCTTTATCATCTTTTAAAACTTACTATTTCCATAAGAAAAGTGATCCATTTCCTCCCAATGTCATGAAGATGTCCCTGTTCTGTGGTAGATGTCTCGCTCCCCACACGGTTGATTTATGTGCCTGTAATACAGAAATATTGAGAGTCAGTAAATACCATGATACTACATTAACAGTAAAGACCTCTTGGTAACTGTTAAGTACAATGTTTATATATAAATATAATTACGAAAAAGTAGTCACTGATTTTACAGTACTGTACCGGTAGTATAAAGGGAATATATATGATACTGTATCTTGTTTAAAACAAAGTAGCAAGTTAGCATACAATATACTATGTTTAAAGTATGATAGTTAATGATAATACAAAACTATGTTAGCAGTAATGTAGTCGGTGAGTATGCAGTGCTACGTTCACAGTAGAGTTTACAATACCTTGCTGAGACTGTAAAGTTGTCAGTGAGTATACAGTACCATATTCACAGAAGTTGGTGAAAAGTGAGTTCACAGGAATATGCTCGCATTAAAGTTCACTGTGAATATATTTCATACTACCGGTATGCATAAAGTAAATCAAAAGAACCGTAGTCCAGGAATATTAAGATGCAATACTAAACTAGCATGCTAAGAGTAAAGAAACCAGCGAGTAAACATTGTGGTCTTTAACAGACTGATACTGTACCTTTTCAGACACACTGGCAAATCCTTTTGTAGGATGCTGAGTTCTCATGTCAAACACATGGAATTTTGACTCTAATGTTGTTGCAACTAGTTTGTTCATACTGATATCCTTCCTGTCAAATTCTAGACCGCAAACCTTTGAAAATACATATAAACACACATAAAAATCGATTTTTATACTCTTTTCGTCATTGTTATTAGTGACACAGCTGTCATAATAAAACAGCAGAATTATCAAGCAAATATCCATCTTTTTGACAACCTGTGATGTTTTGTTTTTGTCAATCTTATCAGTAAATCTCTTTACCAGAAAAATATCTTTGGTGATCATAGAAGACCAAACTACATTTAACATTGTGATGATTTTGCTTAACTTACACCATTTTTAACATTATTCTCCCAACGAAGCTGCATGTTTCTCAGGTCAAATAACTTGATATCACCATTGTCATAGCCTGCACAAACACATCTGTCTGCCTGGTTATAGGCGTGACCTAAACAGCAAAACAATGGCATTATCCTCATTATGTACTGTATCTTCAGGATAC